TACGAACTTGTACCAAAAAAAAATGAATGCTGCTTCTTGTACAAAAGCAGAATGGCCATAACACTCACAGCAGGGGGTGGGGGTGGTTTATTTTTTTCAATATTTTACTCACATGTGGCCCACCCCCTGTGAGTTTTCTAGCCAATTTCTGTGGAATATATAATTCTATACAAACAGAATTATTAAAAAAAAATAGTGCTAGTTCCTTCTCATTGTACCTATCAAAACGTACAACATTAATGCAGAGTACTTTAGACCGTGAAGACATTGCCCCTTAAAACACTCACAAAGGAGACTTTTCAGTCCAGATATGATGTATAAAAAAATAGTGCATTCTCAATTCACCTGCCAAAACGTACAACATTAATGCCGAGTACTTTAGATAGTGAAAACATTGCCCTTGAAAAACACTCACAAAGGAGACTTTTTTAGTCAAGATAAGATGTTCATTGACTTCGCCAAAGACTTACAAATGGATTTTCATTTTTTTCAATATATATTTTTCTCTCTCTTCTTTTTAACTACACATTCTTTAATAAAATAATATTACACGCAAACTAATTTTTTTCCTTATTTTCTAATAATTCGTTTTCCATCAATCTACTATTCTAAAATACATTCTTTACCTTTTAATGGAGTTCAAACATGCTCTATATAAGAAATCGTCTTGCAAACATGTGTTTGTACATTGCTTAGGTTGTAATTCTGTTACTACAATACAATCTAGGAAAAAGAATTATAACTGAATTCAGTGTTTGGAAAGCAGCCAAGCGGGTTATTCGGTATATATAGAGAACTACATGACTACATACAGAAAATTAAATCAATTGAAGATCATTGGATATTCCGATATCTATAGAATATGACTATAAAATTTTGTCATTGGATCGCACATTTTTGATGGAATTGAAAGATCACTTAAATTATTTTGTGACAATAATAGTCTTGCATTCCAATAGGAGCTTGATGAAATCAAAATTTAGAGTGGTCAGGTTTTTATAGAGTATATAATAGTTTGATGGGAGTTTGTATTTGGTTGTTATTTGATTCGAACACATTTTATGCTTATAGATATTCGGTTTATTTTGCAAAAATAAAGTATTCAGTTGTTTTCATTCTAATTAAAGGGGTTTTTTTTTTTTTTAATCTCATTAAAGTTTGAGGTATTAAAAAATAAGATAGGACCAGATGGAAATAGGCATGTTTGAATTATATTACATGTAATTTTCATGCTATACATCCATACTTGATCTATACTATTTAATTATGTTGATATACGTGACCATTGAGGTTTTAGTTATGATAATTGTAACGAACACTGCTTTGATCCTATATTAACATAATTGATGGACGAAATTGTTCGGGGATATTTTTGGTTATGATAGCAAAAGTTTTGAGTTCATAGGATTATACACATTTATAAGGTAACATACGTAGTTGAAGTGGAGATTGTTGGGAAAATATTTAACTTCTCATGCGAGCCCACATATGTAAAATTAAGTCTGTTTAAAGTAATATAATAATGAATTTATGTTATCAGGTTTTGGACATCTAAATAAAATGTGGACTAAATATGTGTAGAGATTGGGTCAATTAGGATTGTTTTTTATGATAGGCTGCATACATATGGAAAATATATATAGGGTTATGGTTCACAACTCATTGTGATTCTCATTCTTTGTGTCATCCTATCAACACAAAAATACAGAAGAAACATATTGAACAGGAAGATCCAAAACCTATAATCAAGAACAGGAAATCAACAATCAAAAAGAAGGTATTGAAGCAATCAAGATTATAGAGTAAGAAATCAAAGTTAACAACAAGAACTTAAGAATCAAAAAATGCAATATTCAAGATTAAAGATTAGGAAATCAAATATGAAGAGATTGCAATTGATTTTCAAGATTCGGAATCAAGATCCAGTAACAAAGAATCATTTCGAATGAATTAATATATGTTCCGCGTTTAATAATTCTCTCAATGATTTGACCGGAGGATTTTGGAAATAAAGTAATTATATTTTTAAGTTCTTAAGATTTAGAGTTTCACAATATTATAACATTTCCTTTTCTCAGTATTGAGCAGGGGGTGTATTTTGTTCAACTTGAGAGTTTGGACATGGTGGAGAGGCAAAGGAGATGAGCTTTTTGGGGTTCTATAGGGAATGGGAGTGGCATGGAAGGCATTTTAGCAATTTTAGGGGCTTGTCAAAGAAAGAACTAATGTTAGAGACGGGTGGACAGAAGGGCCTCGGCTTAACACCTTCTGTATCACTCGCGTTTTCGACAGCCTACCAAGATACAAATAAAAACTCTATATATGTCTTTGTGAACAAGGGTTAAATATTGAGTCGTGCCCCGCTGACAGCCTTCTCACATGGGGGTGGGACTCGCGATTATTTTCTCGGGGCCCACCCCATGTGAGAGGGCAACCATCCTGAGTGTACATCAATGCGTTTGCATGTTTAAGCTGTAATAATTGCAGTTATGGTTTTCTTTTTAAAGAAGGTGGGTTCATTATTTCTTTGAAACAATTGTTCCAACTGAGTAATATAATGAAGCTTCGCCTGTGGTGAACATGCCTAAAATAAAAGCCAAAAATAACGAGGAATAAAGTCTTCCCTTTCCACGTCCATATTCGGGGTACAATCTTCTGAATCCTCGTAAGAAAAAAACAAAGGAAAAGAATAATCTTCAAAGATGTAATATTCATGTTTCACATTTTTTTATTCTAAACAACCAATAAGGCATTCAAACTCCATGATATAGACAACGTTCAGTTTTGCAGTAGGTACTACCACTTATGTCAATTCGTGATTAATACTTTTTATATGTTTTTGTATTGAGAATTATAAACTCTAATTTTATTCCATCGATAGCAATCAATTCAAAGAAAGAAAAAAATACTAATGAACACACAAGATTTATACAGGTTTGCTTGTGAGACTACGTCCTCTAGCGCCGTTGCAGTGATTCACTATGATAAAAAAAAGGTTTATAAGAGAAAATCGTACTCCTATTTTTTTTAACTTCTCAAGGACAACTCCCTATTCATAAGATAAATTAGGGTAAAAACGAATTTTACAAGAAATCAAATTTCTTAATAGAATTTTATAAGAATACGGCTTCCTAAATAGTACTTATATTAAATTTTGGTCTGGGGGACAGGAGGGTTCCAATCCCCACAGTGATCTACTCGCGATTGTCGATCCACGACCAGCTCTACGAAGTAGAAATAATGAGGATCAACAATAATTAGGCTACACAACTTAAAATTATGAAGATTACAATTCCACAAGAGTCAAGTCTTTGAATGTCTGGTATATGAAGCATCATTTTGATTTTTAGATATTTGAAGCAGTGGTCCTAATCATACAAGTTCAAAAAATCTAAAATGTCATTCTCATAATTTGCAAAGTAGATTAGATAAATGGGAGAAGGCATTGGTGACAAAGCTATTGTTTGTCAAATAACGTTATAGAAGCCTCCTAAAAGTAGTGGCGGATGCAGACATTTTGAGTCTGGGGCACAATCAAATTTGCAAAAATGTTGTGAGAAGATTAAAGCATTCGATAGTTTATTACAATTATTTTCTACGCGTTCTCATACTACAATTCGGAAGTTTTGTTTACTTCATAAACTACAATTCATCCGCTAAAATTAGAAAGTATTGATTGCAACATATTGCCTAGAGCTTGCTTGGGAGGGATTTTAATCCAATTAAAATTGGAAATATAGCCATTATTGGGTCCCACTCGTCTAATAAAAGCCAACAATAACGGCTAGTTTTTCAATTTTAGTGTCATCTCTAATAATGTTTTCATCAAAACGCTTATGCCATTTCGTACAAAACAAATTGGCACCCTCACAAAAACACTCCAAGAGAATAAGTTTATTTTCTTGAACAAATTAGTTTTTATTTAGCATACTCTCTTTCAAGTGTTTCGATGTTTTTATCAACATAAATTTATATAGAGAAAATTTTGTTTAATGTGCACACACAAATCCAACATATAATTCATGTAACATTCTAGATGAATTTATGCACTCGAGATCTAATACATTTTATGTGTATTATGAATTCTATTAATACTATAGATTCATGATCCTTCTTCTAGAATCAATGGTAAATAGATTATCAATGTTCAATGTATCATCTTTAACATTCATAGCCTTTGTTTGAACTCCATCATTTGAAAAAAATTAATTTTGGAATAGTGCTTTTTAGATAATGAATGGTTAAAAAGTAAAGAGAATTTTTGGGTTTATGTGTAATATTATTTTATTGAGAGAATGTATGATTGATATGAGAAGAGAGAAAAATCAATTAAAATTTAATGAGGGTCAAATATGGGCATAAACAGTTTAGATAAACTTCCGACATGGTCAATTTCAGAAGATATCAAGAGGTAAACTTTCGATCTAAATACAATCAGCTTTAAAAATAAAAAATTGTCGGCAAAAGATTTTAAACTGAGCAAATATAGTTGATAAATCATAGATTCCCAAATCTATATGCATTACTTGACCAAATGACTGTAAAAAAAATCATATATTACACAAAATTACATGATTATATGTCACATCAAAACAGTGCTTTCATATATAGAACGAATATTAGAATTAATAAAATATTATGCCTCAAGAGTAATGAAATAATAAATAAATAAATAAAATCAACTTTCAAAATCTATTTTTTTAATATAATTATTTTAATTTGATAAAAAGAATGTTTTTTTTGTAATTTATAGAAGAGAAAATGCAAACAATAAATTTTAACCACATATGTCAAAATCAGCTAGCTAGCAGATAAAACATAAACAAATCAATCAAAGAAAAAAATTTTACGGCAATGCAACGTAATTTTCGACAATGAAACCATCGCCCGCTAAACACTTCAAGAGGATTTGTGGCTTGCAAAGTTACATAAGAATCCGTACGAGCAAACCTGTGTATATATAGTTCATGGGTTGGAGTCGGTTAGACTACAATAAAACCATGGGATTGCATTTGCATTTGCTGCAAGCTCAATTACTTGTGTCAATTCTGCTTATTTTTGTTCCAAGATCAGTTTCTACTCAATCAAATTTCCAAATTGCAAAGCCCAACTGTACGGATCATTGTGGAAATGTAAGTATTCCCTTCCCTTTCGGCATGAGGGAAGACTGTTACTTTAACGAAACATTCTTAGTCACTTGTAATAACACCCACTATGATCCTCCCAAACCATTCTTGGGAGACTCAAACATAGATATCACAAGCATATCCCTAGATGGCCAAATGCGTGTCATGCAATTCATAGCAAAAGACTGTTATTCACGGAATGGCACCAGTGTGGATTATGAGGGTTAATTACCCCAATAGTTACTGAACTTTACCGAAAGTTTCCACCAGGTCACTGAACTTTAAAAATTACGTGGTTAGTCACTGAACTTTAGAAACTATAATCTCATCCATCACTGAACTTTAAAAATCATCTCATTCATCACTGAATTTTAAAAAAAGTTTCCCAGATGGTCACTGAATCAGTGACCATCTGGGAAACTTTTTGCAAAGTTCAATGACCCCGTAGAAATCTTATGCAAAGGTCAATGACGAATGTAGTGATTTTTAAAGTTCAGTGATGGATGGGGTTACAGTTTCGGAAGTTCAGTAATTAACACGTAATTTTTAAAGTTCAGTGACCTAAAGATAACTTTTGATAAAATTCAGAGACTATTGAGGTAAGTAACTCCGCGAAACTCAAACCTAGTCTTCAAGTTAACCTAATGTCGATAGCGTTTTTTAAATCAAT